TTGGAGGTCTCCATGAGCCCTCAAGCTTGTCCTGCAGTACCCACAGATGGCCAACGGGGGCGATCTCAGAGCAACACCTTCAAGTGCCTAGTCTCCCTAGGCAGCAGCAGCATTTACTTCCCTGCCAGGGCGCCTGCGCTGCTACCAGAAAAACCACCTCCCTAGGGACCAACTCATCCATTAGGTACAATAGGCACTGTACCTACGGACCATGAAACTTCTAGGGACCCACAAAAATATTTTAATTTTAAATCCCTTTAAGAACAGAATATTAACATGACTATAAGAGCAATGAATATATAACATTATATCTAGTCACGATTGTATTCAACTATGTACGAATGCAGTTATAAAATGTAATTTTTAATACTTTTCTGTGGATGAATGGGTCCACGAAGGTGAAAGTGCCTAGGACCCATGAAAGCGACAATGTAGCCCTCTGTCTCCCCTGCCAGCGTCCTACCCTGCTCTGGCTGGGGTGACACAGAGGCAGAGTGACACACAGGAGAACAGGGCGCTGCAAGTAGGACCCCAGGGACCAGGGCAGCCCTCACCCTCGGGCTGAGGCTAGAGAGACCATGGGGGCTGAGGGACGAGACTTTTGGGCTCTGACTGGCAGGGGCATCGCTGAGTCAGAGCACAGGCGGTCTGGAGGGTACCCCGCCCTACTGTGCCAGCTGCTACCTTCTAATGGCCACATGGAAAAGGCTAGTGCAGAGGGGCCAGTTCGGTGCCCTCAGGGAAGTCCGCTGTGTGCACGGGCTGCATTTAATTCATCTCCTCCTGCTCTGATGGGGATTCCAAGTGTCTCTCTGGGTCCCTGCACTAACAGACGAGCCGGCACTGTGCCCTGAGACTAACACACTCTAACTACTGTCTCCTTGACTCTCTCACCCTCTGAGATTCACATTTGGCCCCTATGAGGTCCTTGAACTTCCTTCTCTACCTAAATGACAGACCAACCCCTTAAAGGAGATAATGTTGTTCCCAGTTACAGATAGAGAGACAGAGGCCCAGAAAGATCAATTCTCCTGCTCAGGGCCGCACGGGCAGGAGAGCAATTCCTTTCAGACATCTAGACCCCTCAGAGTTCTCTGCCTCTGCCCCACTGAGGCTGACCTGGAGTGCCGTGTCCTGTCTCGGGAGCCCCCACACTCACTCCTGAGACCTCACTGGTGGGACTCAAAGGCAGGGTCCACAAGGACCTTGCCTGATTACAGCCAGATTCCCTCCTTGGCACAGCAGGGGTCTGGGGGGTGGAGAAGCCCCTCCTTATCCTCACTCATTCCCTTCCTCTTCCTCACCTCTTGCTCTCCTCCACGCGCTGTGTTTGGCTTCTGTGCTGCCCCCCACTGAAGTTAGTGGCCTTCACATCTGCACAAACAATAGGAAAATATTAGGAGTCATCTCCCTGGGCCTCGTGGGCTCCTGTCCTACTCTGCCCACTTTGTAAAATCCTCAATGCCCCTTGGCTTACAGCACCACGCCCACCCCACTCCCCTCCTGCACCACCACCCTGGACGCCTCGGGCTCGTCTCACTTCTCTCCACATCAGGCCCCGCACCTGACCCACCTGGGACGAGTGGGTGACCTCTGCACAGCTCCACCACCATCACAGGCCACGTTCCCTAGAAGCAGGGCCTCAGCTGGGAAGTGAGAGGCATCTGATTTATTGAGGGGTGTTGTCAGGAGGAGGGAGGCAGAGGGGAGCAGGATAGGGCAGAGGAAGGAGCTGAGCAGGGACGTGCTCTACCCTGAGACGAGCTTCAGCCTCACCCACAAAAGCCTGGAACCCCTGCTTTAGGACTGACTGAGGGGGGACTGGGCTTTGGTGTCCCCTCATAGTCAGTCCCCATCCACAGGCTGAGGGCAGAGGGGACACAACCCCCAGGCATCTCCTGGGAGGCTGTGAAGACAGCTGTGAAGGGGGCATCCGTATTGCACAGTTCAAACAGCTGGGGGATGGGGCGGGGGTGGCAGCCGCCCAGTGAGGGGTATCTGGGCAGGGCACTCACAGCACCTACTGCCCAGTGCCCCGCCCAGGGAAACTGGCATTTCATGCCCCTGGCATTTCAGAACCAATGTGGTCAAAACTGAACAGCCAACTCCCCCCACACTCATCTCATATCTACACCAGGACTCTGAGCAGCCCATGATCACATTCTCAGAACCCACCCCTCGCATTGTTCAACCTGTCAGGGAGTCAACCTGCCTCATCCCCTCTGCAGTGACTCCATCCCAGTCAGCCCCATACTCTCTCAGCTTCTGTGACAACCCTCCTTCTATTCTCCCTTCCCTCCTCTCCCCTTGGCCATTGCCCCGGGGCGACACGTCCTTGCTCGGCTCCGAGATGATTCACCCCTCATGAATACACATTTACACACACACACACACACACGCGCACACACACACACACACACACACACACACACACACACACACACACACACACTGAAGCCAGGGTGTTGGCTAACGTGGACAAGGATCTGCTCTCCCCTCTAAAATCATCTGGCTCGTTATTGCTTTCCTGGACCTGGGTCTGTCCATCTCTCCAGTCCCACCCTGACCCACCCCCTTGCATGCCTCCCTTGAGCACTGAACTGAGTGCCACTTCTCACTCTACCATGCCAGTCCCTTTGCTTTTCTTAAGCAGTTTTCTCCCCAGAGCATCCTCTTTCCCCCTTGCTGGGCTCAGGTCCCCTCCATTGCACATCCATCACACTGTAGCCATCACATGCAAATGGAACTCACCATCCAGAGTTTTACTCTCAGGGAGGACTGACAAGCGAAGCATGCCATGGACTGATGCTCTATGCCATTCATGAAAGTCTGTTACCTGTTTTCTCAGGGGTAAGAGGTCTAATGGTCAAACGGCAGACTCTCTCACCAGTCAATCACTGCAGAAGGCACTGACCAGGCCTCCATGCCTCTCTGCCTGTTTTGTCTCCTTCTCAAAGGTTGCAATGGAAAAAATGTTTGCGTCATCTCCTTTCTGCTATCAGTGGTCACGTGTGCATGTTGAGGGCCTGGTCCCAGGCAAGGGATATATGGCCAACATCCATGTAAAATGTGAAAGGGCAAGACAGGGCTGAGGCTATAGGTGGGTTGCCATGGAAGCAGGATGGGCAGTCACGGGAGGAAATTGGAAACAGATGTGACCAGCACGGGCCCATATCATCCTGATGAGTGATCTGTCTCTCAGGTTGGGCAGGGATGTACCAGCTATGACAAAACTGATGGGTAACATTTGCTGATTTCCATGGTGGAAATACTTCCACCAAGGCCAATTTCAAGCTACCAAGAGTTTAACAACCAGCTCAGAAAACTCCTGACCATTTAACAATTGGCAATGGCAAGCCTGTATCCTCTGGCACAGACACAACACAGCCCCCTGGGTGTCCTCTGCAAAGTTTCCTCCCCCAACTTGCATTGATGTAGAGTGAGAAGCATGAGGTTCCTCTAACCTGCCTGAGATCAGCCCCACCTGCTCACCAAGAGGAGACAAGCCTGACAGGTAACAAAGTAAGTGCTCTGTGAGATCCTGTCCTCTGTCCCTCTCAGAGAGGGGAATCTGTGTCTTGGTACAGGTTGGCCCACAAGCAGACCTAAGACAAGCATTTAGTGGAAATAGTTTGTTTGGGAGGTGACTCCAGAAAGCGCCAGCACGAGTGTAGAGAAGGGAGACAGGGCAGGACCTGAGTCAGAAGAGGACGTGTCAATGAACAGGTCACAGAAGTGGGTGACAGGGGCTCAACCCAGCTGGGGACCTCAGGGGGAGGTGTGACATGTCTGGGAGTGGACCCCCCAAGGAGTGAGGAAGAGGAGGTATTTTTCCACCAAGTCCCCCCAATGGTTGGTTGAGGCTGCTCCCTGGGTTCAAACTCCCCAATGTTTCCAGTCTGCCCCAGAGCAAAGGTCAGCTAGAGAATGGGGAGTGGGCAAGACATGGACAGTGTCTGAAACACCCAGGCAAACAGATATGTGACCTGTGTGTCACTCTGTGTGTCTTTCACATTCATGCAGAGCTACTCACCCTGATGAACAGGATCCTTCTTTTTTTAAATTTAATTTTATTTTTTTATACAGTAGGTTCTTATTAGTTATCTATTTTATACATATTAGTGTATATATGTCAATCCCAATCTCCCAGTTCATCCCACCACCACGACCACAGCCCTCTCCCGCCACTTTCCCCCTTGGTGTCCATAGGTTTGTTCTCTACATCTCAGGATGCTTCTTTTTAATGCTGCATATTTTTTTAGCAGGTAGTTCCCTAAACACAAGCCCACCACTGAAATCTCGGACCCAGCTAAAGAAACAGTGATGTGTTCAATGCCAGAGGAAAAGCCAGGAGGGGTGGGCTTTTCCAGACTTCAGATTGTCAAGGAGAAATGGAACGCTATGGGCATTGTACCTGTAGGCTTAGCCCTGAGACTGAACTGCGTCTCTGTGAGTGTTTAACAAAAGCCTGGCCCCTCCGGACTGTCACCTCTACGTGAGCAGGGACAGCATCCCCACCAGTACTGCACACAGAGCAGGTCTCCTTAAGTCCCTACTCGGTGTTGGAGGAGGAGGGCAGAGGTGTGTGAAGGGCACGGGAGGGACCCGAGAATTGGAGACGCTGTTGGTCCTGCTGCCTCTCCCCATGCCCTCCTGGAAGGAACGCTGCCTCACCCACCTCTGTGTTTACAGGAATGATCTCTCTCTCTCTCTCTCTCTCTCTCTCTCTCTCTCTCTCTCTCTCTCACACACACACACACACACACACACACACACACACACACACACACACCAGAGGAGGCATCCCAGAGGTAAGGACTTGGTCCCAGTAAGTGGTAAGAACGAGAAAATTGAAATTGAAGCCTGGTGGAAGTTATTTTCACAAGAATTTATTTTTCACCATCCAGAAGTCTGAGCCAGAACTTATCAGCCCCTCAGGATGCTTCCCTGGGCTCAGGGTTCACCAAAAGCCCTTAATGGGGGTGACATTAGGCAATCCTTCACCGTTTTCCAGGAATCCTTGGAATGGGGAACCTTGGCGGGAACCACGGGCGTGGCCTTGGCCTTGGCAAACGTGGAGGCCGGATACGAATTCTCCTGACACTCTGAAACTGTGAACCACAATGAAATTTATTTCTTTTGTGACTAGGCAGGGGTCAAGACGAGACCCCTCCCTCCCCACATGAACAAGCCCCTAACGGACACACCAGGAGCACTGGGCCTTGTTCAGCCTTAAGCTGTGATCTTTGGAGCATGTGGGTGAATCCCTACAGCCACAGACATATGGGGAAACTGAGGCCCACAGATGGCAAGGGTCTTCCCAGGATCACAAGCCCATCCCAACAAAGCTGGACGGGAGTAGGGGCTGAAAGCACATTACTCTAGTCAGTGCCTCTCAGAATTCAGCAGTCAAAATCCCCTGGAGGCCTGGTGAAAATACAAATGGCTGGGCCCCAGCCCAGAGTCTGATTCAGGAGGTCTGAGTGGGGCCTGGGAATCTGCCTTTCTGTCAAGTTCCCGGGTGGGACCCCACTTAGAGAACCACTGCTCTAAGGGATGGCAGAGCCAGTCCTGGAGGCCTGGGGCTTGGGTGAGGGAGGGGCCAGGGTAGGAGGGCCTTTCTCTGCCCTGGAAGGGGCAACGGATATTTGGTCCAAAGGATGTTCCACAACCCACCCCATTATCAGCTCCATAACACAGAAGGGGCACTCACCTCATTACAGTTTATGTCAAATTGGTCCTTGGACTGGTCCAGGGTGACTGTCCCCACACACTGTTTCACCAGCTGGAAGGGGAGGCTCGAGGTCAAACTGGAACCCTTGGGTCATCACCTCCCAAACTCAGCACAGGGGCTGGAAATCTTCCCGGAAGCCCTCAGTTCAGATCCCTGGGAAGCATCCACCAGTGCCCCCAGCCCTCAGCCTCACCCCATTCTCCTTGAAGTCACACTGCTCCGCGGGCTGCTGGGTCGTCCTGGGGCACACGGTCTCCTTCACCGTGAAGCTCACAGGCTTCGGGGTGTCCAGGTCCTGATCCTGGTCAAGGATCAAAGTAAGGAGACTGGGCTCGGGCTCATGCTTCCTTCTCTGTTCTGTCTCCCTGCCCCCACCTAGACAGCAGCCTCTCCAGCTGCTCTGTGTGCCTGGGCCCTGGCTTGGTGCTGGGTGCACAGGGGAAGAGGACAGAGCCCACCCCTGGCCTAACAGGCACACAGAGAGTAGGAGCAGACCTCAGACCAGATCTGATGAGACCACCTGCACCGCTGATGGGCTGAGGGAAGTCAGGGGCTGCCTGCAGGGAGAGATCTTGTCACCTGAACCTCTAGGCCGAGCAGAGCCCTCCCAAGTAGGGAACAAAGAAGTGCAGAGCGGACTCAAAACAGGGTAGTCACATCTCAGAGCCAGTGACCACCCTCCATCCCTGGAGCTCCCAGAAGGCCCTTAAGCCTGAACAGGGTGTACACGGCGCCTGTTTCCACAGTAGAGATGCTAAGGCAGGAAGCCTCATGCTAGGAGGGGACCCAGCTCTGGGAAGTTTTCCTGGAAGAGGTGGGAGCACACCTAGAGGGAGAAGTCCCTTCCTGACAGGAGGTGCAGCCTGAGTAGAGGGGCTGACAGCATGGCCAGGGCTGGCGGGAGACAGCACCCTCCCCAGGGTTCTCCTGACTCACGGCCTTGGGAGGCGGGTCCAGCTCCAGGAGGCGGTAGAGATTAGCTTCTGAGGACCGCTCGTTGAGGCGATCCACAGCATGGAGCACAGCTTCCCTGTAGCTGAGGGCCTGGGCACTGGCCAAGGGCACCACTAGTCCCAGCAGCAAGAGCCAAAGTGACCGCCGCCCCAGGGCGAGGCTGGCCCTCTGAGTCTCCATGGTCCCCAAGTCGACCTCCTCCCAGCATGCAGGACCGTCCTTTATGCCCCTCCTGGGCCTGATGCAATGGCCCGACCATGCCTCTTCCTGACCCGCCCCAGCCCTGATCTCCCCGGCTGTGCGCTGGACTTGCCTCAGCCCCTGCTGTTGCCTCACGGGATTGCTGGGCAGTGGGAGCAGGAAGTCTCCTGTGGAAGGTGAAGAAATGGTTTCTCCATCTCCCTGACAACATCTTGGCCTCTCCTGGGGCCCATGGGGAGGGTCATAGGCAGGGTTGCTCAAGAGCGTTGAGTCCTCCAGGAGAGGGAGAACCAGGCTGTGTCTTACGTCCCCTCTGCCTCCACACTCTGGCCTCCTCAGGAATAGGGTAAAGGAGTGTATTCAGCACTCAATCTCCTCCTCTAGGCGCTGTCTGGCACAGAGTAGTCATCAGTTAATGTTGATGAGTGGATGACTGTACCAGCTCCTTCTAGAGCCTTACACACCTAGCCAAAGCCTAGGCAGACAGTCAACCCCACACCAACTTGTCTTCTGGGCCCAGCCCTCAGCCAGTCAGGGGCTTGGCTCCCTCTGTCTCCTGTCCTGGATTCATCCTCACTGTTATCTCGGTTAAATAGTTCTCCACGGGTCCCCACCAGACATGGCCTGACCCCTCCTCAACCAAGCATGGGAGGGGTCATCTGCACTGGGACCCCAATTCAGTGCCGCCTCTCACACTCAAGGCCACTGCAGACTGGCCAGTCCTCACTGGATCCAAATTCACACTCAAGCCTTGTCTTCAACTATACAGACTCTAGAGACGCGTCTGAAATGGCCCTTGACCGACTGTCCCCTGCTGCCACTCTCCTGGGTGCCCTCCTGCCTCCCCCGTGGCTCCTGCTCGGTCTCCTCCAAGGACCCTCCTCCTAAGAGGCAGGGCTGGCACAGGTGCATCCGGGCTGCTTCTCCTCCCAGTCCTCACACATTCCTGGGGACACCCCTTCTCAAGATACCAGTTATCAGGGACACACATCACTGGTCTGTATCTCTGAGCTCAAGACTCCCATGAGTGCCCCTGGTTGTCCGCACTGGGCTGTTGGCTGCTGTTGGCTGGGTGCCGCCGCAGGAGCCCTGAGCTGAAAGCCTGGGAGCCCCACCTGCTCCTTCGTCCTCCTGAGGACACTCCCTCTGGCCTCCCACCAGCCCGGCCCAGCTCCTACCACCGTCTTCTCTCCTCTCAAGCGTAGCCACAGCCTCAGGACTCCACCTTCTCTGGTTCCAGGCTCTGCCCAGACCGCTGTCCGCCCTCCACACCATTGTCTAGGGGCTCATGCCAAGCACTGATTTGGCCATTTCCCACACTGCCTTGAGGCAGGGGCTTCGGGGTTTGGATCTTGATGCTCCCTGCTGTCCTCAGCCCCTGCCCTGCAGGCCTCAGGTGTCAGGCTGCCCCATCCACCGCAACCACTCAGACAGCGCTGAGTCCCCTGCTCTTCCCCATCTCTGCGCCTGGTCCCTCTGCTTGCCCTGCCCTTCCACCTGGGGAAGGCTTCAGGGACCTTCAAGCACACAGGGCATCTCCTCTTCTTGTCTGCCGTAGCCCTCAGGAAGTCTCTTCTGATTTGACCCCAAGTGACTCTGTGTCCAGTGCTCTGGCTGAGTCACCAGGCAGGGATGGCCAGTGCTCGGGGGTGGAGGGAGCACAACTGGGAGAGATAATGAGCCAAAGTGTTAGAGGGGCCCAGAGGCCATGAAGCAAATTCTGATCCAGTCTCCCATGGAATGGCCATGTGACTGGAGGCCTGTGGGACTCTTGGCAATTGGCTGGGGCACTTCGGAAGGTGGCAACTGGGAAGGATGGCGCTGGTTGCACACTCAGCCTTGGAGAAGGAAGGAGAGGTGGGCTTCTGTGCAACCTGGTTTCACAGTCCAGGTGTTGCCCCAGTGGCCTCTTGGTCAAGCTGTGTCCTTTCCCCAAGTCAAGGAAGGAAAAGAAGGTGATTACAGTAGCAAATAATTAGCAATACACATGGTTACTGGCTATTATGAAAACCTCCCTGGGCCTTCCTGTCTCTGGGCCTTTCCATTTGCTCACCCTTCAGACTGAAGTCCCCTTCCCCATCCTCCCTGGATCCCGTGTAGGGTCCTCTGCCAGGTCCTCACACTGCACTTCCTGTAATGGGAGGCCTGCCTTTCATGCCTCCAGCATCTGGCTTTCCTGGTTTAATCCTCATAGCCTATCAGAGCAGAGGTCTTCTCAGGAAAGACACCACAGCCCTGGTCCCCAGGCAGGTTGCCCCTGACTCCACATCTGGTCCTTGAGAAATCCTCATGTACCCTTCACCCCAACAAAGTCAGGTATGAGCCCTGACCCTACATCACCCACTCCTTTGCTCCTCTCAGCCATCCTTCCTGTCCAGACACTTCATGGGAAAGAGAACTGGAGACCCTAAGCTGCTGTGTCCCCAACTGTGGGGACACCCACTAACTCTCTGATTTGACCAGCTGATGAGTAAAATGAGACCCACAGGAAATATCATTCCAACAAGGCCCTCCCACCCTCTGAAAAATGCCTGGACGTGGATCACCTGCCCCCGACTCAACCCACCACGTTCGCCCTTCTACAGGGACAAGGGGCTGGAATTTAGACCCCCCTCCTGCCCTCTGCAGTGAGCAGGGAAGGCAGCCATGGCTGCTGTGAGGGTGGGAATTTGGGTCAGGGATTAAGGTCAGGACCCTCTGCTCAGGGTCAGCTTCCTCCTTTCCCTTGTACCACTGCATGTGAAGCAAAGAGCTGGGGAGATTATGTCCTCCTGGAAAGCCCTCAGCTAGGCTGGGATTTCCCAGGCACGGGCCTTGGAGAAGGAGAGCAGCTAGCAGGAGGGCAGCACTACCCCACCTCGATCAAACGCCTAACCAGCTCCTCTCCGCAGCATGTGGGGCTGTGCGACAAGGTGAGCTGGGCCCAGGTGGAGGCTGAGTGGGAGGGTGCCTGAGCTTTGCAGAAGAGGATCAGGCTTAGGGCCAGCCCCAGACATGGAGCAGACTGGTGGGCGTGGGTACCATTCCCGTGAGTGGGATTTTACTGGGGACATGGGTATAGAGAGGGCAGCTAGGGCCGCAGGCCAGGCGTGTCCCCAGAGAGCCTAAGAGGGTGTCCTCTCCCCAGAGGGGACTCTGGATGCCTCAGGTACATCTGAGAAGGCACATCCTCCCTCTTTCTTCTACCAGAACAAAGACCTGCAAACCCCAGGGTCTCAGGGTCGGCCTCCAAGAGACCATGTGCTGCAAGCAGGAAGCAGGTCAAGCCTATCTGGACCCCAGCTTCCAGGAGGATGGAGTGAGACAGGGCACTGCACACGAGGCCCACACACCTTCACCTTTCCTGGGAGCCTCTGCGGTCCCTCCCCACAGCCTGGTTTGTCTTAGTGAAGGTCAATGCATCTGGTCATAGATGCCCTGGGAAGGCAGAAACTGCCCCTCCAGAGGCACCGAAGGGCTGTTCTGGGGGTCCCCTTCTGCTCTGTATTCCCTCTCTCCTCCTTCCCTTCCTGGGCTCTCCCCTGTCCTCTGACCGCTCACGGCTGAGGGCAAGGACTCAGGCATTTTTGAGTCAAGTACCCAGGGAAATAAATTCTCTCAGAATGGCTTCCAGGACCTCCTCCCTGTGTTGTGACAAGTGTGGAGTCACCACTGGCCAGGACGGGCTACGTCATCTGCAAAACGAGAACGTGGGGCCCCTTGTGCAAAATCGTGGGAATTTCAAGACCTGAAGCACAAGTCAAATCTCCAAAATTTACAAACAGCCCATGCAGCTCAATATCAAAAAAACAAACAACTCAGTCCAAAAATGGGCAGAAGACCTAAATAGACATTTCTCCAAAGAAGATATACAGACTGCCAACAAACACATAGAAGAACGCTCAACATCATTAATCATTAGAGAAACGCAAATCGAAACTACGATGAGATATCATCTCACACCGGTCAGAATGGCCAGCATCGAAAAATCTACAAACAATAAATGCTGGAGAGGGCGTAGAGAAAAGGGAAGCTTCTTGCACTGTTGGTGGGAATGTAAATTGATACAGCCACTATGGAGAACAGTATGGACGTTCCTTGAAAAATGAAAAATAGAACTACCATATGACCCAGCAATCCCACTACTGGGCATATACCCTGAGAGAACCGTAATTCAAAAAGAGTCGTGTACCACAATGTTCATTGAAGCTCTATTTACGATAGCCAGGAGATGGAAGCAACCTAAGTGTCCATCAACAGATGAACAGATAAAGAAGATGTGGCACGTATATACAATGGAATATTACTCAGCCATAGAAAGAAACAAAATTGAGTTATTTGTAGTGAGATGGATGGACCTAGAGTCTGTCATACAGAGTGAAGTAAGTCAGAAAGAGAAAAGCAAATACCGTATGCTAACACATATATATGGAATCTAAAAAACAAAAAATTGTCATGAAGAACCTAGGGACAAGACAGGAATAAAGACGCAGACCTACTAGAGAATGGACTTGAGGATACGGGGAGGGGGAGGGGTAAGCGGCGACAAAGTGAGAGAGTGGCATGGACATATATACATTACCAAACGTAAAATAGATAGCTAGTGGGAAGCAGCCGCCTAGCACAGGGAGATCAGCTCGGTGCTTTGTGACCACCTAGAGGGGTGGGATAGGGAGGGTGGGAGGGAGGGAGACGCAAGAGGGAAGAGATATGGGGATATATGTATATGTAGAGCTGATTCACTTTGTTATAAAGCAGAAACTAACACACCGTTGTAAAGCGGCTATACTCCAATAACGATGTTAAAAAAAAGAAGAAAAAAGAATAAGTCATTACCAGGTACCAAACCCTTCTGAGCACAGGGGCCTGTGTGACTGCACTGATGACACACTCGTGACGCTGGCCCTGCCCCCAGCCCCAAAAATACAGTCATGGCAGGAAGAGCTCCAAGTACCTGCTTCAGGAGTTCCTCAGATGGCGGAAATTTTAATTCCCTGGGAAAT